GCCGGAATGCATCTCGTCTGCATTTTACGCTCTGCAAACAAGGCGGATTTGCGCGAGGGCCATCATTAAACTCGGCTCCCGGCCGAAGCAGATGAGCCCACATGATAAATAAGCATCATGCACGTGAGTTTGTGAGAGAGTGTGCATACACACATGCCAGGTCGGCCTAGATTGGCCATTAGGCGAAATTGAAAGAGTGGACGAGCAGAAGGGTTGCTTGCGGCTGGGGCTGATTGGCTTTGAGGGGAGCTGGGCGACAAACAGACAAACAAATCGAGCATTGTGGAGACGAACAAACGGGCGCGCAAGCAAGGCAAGTGAGCAAGGAGACAAGGCGGGCGGCAAAGGCTGGGGGAAAATGGGGAAGTGGGGAGAAAAAAGATCAACCAACGGCCAGGAAGAGCATTCATGTTGGACGCAGTCTGGAGGCTGGAGCTGAAAATGTAAACAAACACTGGAGCGAATTTTGCATGCAACGTGGCGAACTCGCAGAAATGAAGAAGAGCAGAGCAAATCGAAGTCTCACCGAACAAAGCCTTTCACACAGCAACAGAGAAGACATGCATGCCTCGCTAAGCTGTACCATTTAGGTTGGAGTAAGTTGTGCTGAAGTGAAAAGAGACTGTGACATGGGCGGATTCGCTTCACAGTCAACAGACTCATCGAAAATCGATTTCGTTTCTATCTCCCATTATTTACATCGGGGCTATAAAGTTTTCATGCTATTTATCAAAATCATATCTACAATGCAACTTGTGGTAAAGGATTTAGAGTTACCTCGTCGAACCGTTTCAAAATGGTTTTAAAGATACAAGGAGAAACTGGTTTTCGATGAATCTCCTGAGATAACATTGCTAGGGGGATCTTTGTTTCGAATGAAAGTGCATGAAGAAGAGATTGGATGGTCGATCTCACCAGATGAGGACGAACGAAACTTGTACTGCGGCAGTTTAGCTTTCATACAATATGCATGTTGACGCAGTCCACGAGACTTCCTCCCTCGTTTCGGATGAAGACGTGCTGAGATTTCTTCCATCATATGATACCCATCATCAGAGCCGTCTCACGTTAACACTAAAGCAGGAAGACTATCCGGCTCTATCCTATTTATTATATCGACTCAATCGAGCCAAAAGAAAATTAAAAATTAAAGAAGTTGTTTGACCTTGTTTTCGCAACTCGGTCATGTTGGTAGGAAGACTTAAAGAAACGCACCTA